CACTAAAGCGTGCACCCCATGTACATGAAATCACTTTTCGAATGCAACTCAAGTGCATGGCGCAATCCAAAATGAATCATTTTCAACATTTTAGGGTAATCTTGTAGAGCTCGACAAGCTCAGTTCAACCGTATTTTCATCTACTCGATCACTCCATTTTGAAGCGATTTATAAAAAAAGACGAAAAAACGCGAGTTCGCGGTATTCGCGTGAATTTTCGAGTTCTTGCGGCGAGTAATAGGCATATTATACAATACCGCTCGCTAAAGTATTCCAATCACAGTGAAAGTGAATCATCGGAAAGCTCTTCTCGTGAAGAATGCAAATATATATTCCAGCCTCGCTAAATATAAGGAAACTCCTGAAGAGCAGTATAGCCAGGGTAACTGTAGAAAAGGCTTTTGTATCTGAGGATAAAGCGCCTGAATGTAGTAAAGCATTAAAATCTGTCGTACAAATTTTGGACAGGTGGTTGACTGGTACTCTGTCCCTAAGTGCACTTTCCGATCAAGATTTTCCTGATTCTTTATCCATTTTTATCTTCATGCCCAAGGAGAGGATCAAGGCTGACGATATCATCGGTTAAACGCTGTTGACTTTTTTCAATGCAGTAAGCCATGTATAGACTCTTCTCTTTCGAAATGGGGAGGTCTTTGACTCGTTCCGCTCCCCACGTTTCGACGAACATCTTACAGTATTGCGAATACGCCTTGAACTTTGCATTAGATCGATGATTATTGAGAGAGTATCTGATAGCATCTGCTAGCAGTTTGCACCGCATGGCAATCTCGCATAGTGCACCTGCTTCCTTCGATAATGGCCCGCAAAAAAAAGGGGGATCAACTCGTTGAAAAAACAAAAACCTGGACTGACTGGACTATTGTGGCAATATCTGCGATGACGAATTCTGGTGTCTGGTTTATCCTTACGGTACTTCTAATAAGACGTGCCAAGCGTGAAATTCAGCCTGTATCCATAGCTTTCCATGGGTTACTGATGCGACTCGTATCCTGGGGGCAGTCAGAGATTTTGAAATCGGGTCGTCAAGCCGACTCCCTCCTACAAAAGGGCCGGCCATCTGACCTTGCCGAGGACGTTCTCCACATTTTGGGCTTTTCATCTTCTTTCTGAACCTTCCCCAAGAATTCTCATAGGAGTGGATCCGAAGATTTGACTGCTTCGACTTCCTTCTAGCTGTCGAGGAAGGAAAATATGCTGAGGTGTTTGTCCGCGATTTTCAAGGTCTCGTTTCGTACCTTGATTGAACTCGCTGTCGCTTCCAGTAATTTTTCGTCTTCCTTTTTTAATGGCGTTTTTGCTGATCATGCTGGAGTTTTGCATCACCGCGATGTTGAATTCATATTGTGATGCGTATTCTTCCCGAGCAAAGGAAGGGATTGCTATTTGGGTGGAGGTTGAGGGCTGATTTGCTTCAGTGGCCGATATATTGGCAGCGATATCTGGATCTCCTAGCAGCCGACTTTTCGCAGGTCTCCTTTGATAGTTATCCGTTGGTTCATTATCATCCATCATTGGTATCTTGTCCGTAATACGATTGGTATGAATTTCTCAGTAATATATCACACCTGTTTTGTACCTCTTTAATTTTTCGGATCTGATCAATAATAGTAACACCAAAGCCATGAGGAAAAACCGTGTCGTAATGATACGAAGTATGCAGTAGAAATAGGAATATCGTTGGGAGAGTAACTCCCTAATTGTCGCAACTCGTCGAGAAAATAAAAGCCTGGGCTGAGGGTCCTCTCACGAGGACATCTAATATAGCGTTGTCCTCGTGACTTCGTAGTCATCGCTGGTACCTAAGGACATGACGAAATACCGCTGTCTTCAGGGAAATTGTATCGCGGCAATATTTGCTATGGCAAAATTTCGTCTCAATCTCAAAAAGCAGTACGTTAAAACTGAGATCTGTTGCCTTCTGTTTCCATTCAGCCCTGGAAATGACAGCAGAAGGCATCAACGGTGAAACGCAGCTAGGATCTACGAGTGCATTCCGGCCTCTTGCAAGGCATTTAATGAGATTAACTTAGTTTTTGTTAAGGCTAACGCCTGTTTTTATTCTCGAGGTCAACCACACTTAGACATCGAGGTTCGGGTCAGGGCTCCTAAATTCCGACTGATCGAATGTCATGAAGTCGAGGAACTCCTCCCACAAATACTTGGACAATTTCTGATTTGCAGTAAGGAGCTTCATCCTAACAATGTGTCCGGTTTGAATCGCCCAAGTGTCGTACTACGTACTACAATAGGACTCTTTGTATCAAAGACCCATCAAAAAAACCCCATATCGACCTCTTGAAATGTAAGGACTAGCGGTGTTTTTGCTTCTCCTATGGTGCCCGCAAAGAACGCCAAAGGAAGCGAGTAAGCCTTGCGCTGTGTCACTTCCTTTTCTTCTAACTTCGCATTCATACTGTCGTTTTGCTTTTTGAGTACACTTCCCACTGTGAATATCTTAACGTTGGTGAAAATGGATTCCCATGACGATATCTTCTTAACGCTATAGCAGCTGTTAAGAAGACGCTTTCTCTTGTCTTTAGCCTGCTCACTCACTCAGAAAAAGGCTTTTTGGTCCAATAAGGACCTTGTCGTGCAAATGATTTTTTACCATTTTGCACAGAAAACTTGATGAGATCACCATTTTTTGGCCATTTTCCGAGCGAAAAAGTTTAACTAGACCGTCGCCCTGTTTTCTTCACGCTCCTCCTTAATGTAACCGTAAGCCTCCTAGATCTACCCTGTCAATCTGAAATTGTTCCCATTTCTTAGCGTCAGATGGCTGAATTACCAGTTGCTTTGTTACATTGAGTCATCCAGAGACGTCCCGTGCCAAAAGTACTTGTAAATGCAGAGTAATGATTGCTTTCATTATACATATTTGAAGTCACCTGTATCACCTGTCGTCCCGTTGATCGTCGATTTCCTCGAGCGGGCGCCAGGAACGTCTCCATTCGTCCCTGTCACGAGCCAGAGTGGTCCGTTGAATCGTCCTCACTTCAGAGACACGAGACCCAGCATTCCGTTCGTTCAGAGTTTCATGAAGAATTCTGACCATCTTGTTGGCGGTCATCCTGGAGTTCGTTTGATGTCCCGAATGATCCAGTCAGTAATCGCCCTGTTCCAACGGTCATCACTATAACGCATAACGTGTCCGGTCCACCTGATCTCCGATTTCTTGGTGTAATCAACGGCATCGCCGTTCTTCGTTCGTTGACGGAGCTCGGAACTTCGGATTCCTTCCGCACTTGCGTGTGTGCGTGTATGGGTAAATTCCGAGCATCGTCCTTTCCAAAGCGCGTTGAGTAACGCTGACAGCATGCTCATCCTGCATTCATGAAGTCCAAGTCTCCGAGTCGTACGTCAAAAGCAAGAAGGACAGCAGTGTCGAAAAGGTGAGCGCGGAGCCGAATGTGCTTTGTCTTCTTCACTCCTTCTTCGATATTCAATGCTCTCCACGCGGCGCGTTTCCTTCTGCACAGCTCCGGAGCTAGGTCGTTCATCATGTTGACTTCCCGACCTAGATACACATAGCTAGAGCATTCGAGGATATTCGTTCCGTTCAGCGTGAAGGGAGCATCAGGTACCAATCCGTCTTTCATGAACATCGTCTTCATTAAGTTCAGTCTCAAGCCGATCTCTCCACATGCATCGTCAAACTCGGCCTGCACGATGTTCGGTATTATAAGCACGATTTCGTCTGCAAAGCTGAGGTAATGTAGGTAGTGGTCGCCGACCTTCACCGCAGGTCTTCCCAATCCAAATGACGCATGATATTCTCGAGATCGGCACTGAAAAGTTTGGTCGAAATGGTATCGCCCTGCCGGACACCTCTCTTCACGTTGATCATGACTTTTTTGTAAAAGTTGAAATCCTGGTCGTGAAGTTGTCGTAGAGCTCACGAAGTATCCTTATATGTTGAGTAGGAACACTCTAGTTGCCCACGGCTCCAATTACCGCTTCTGTCCAAAGGGTGTCAGAGGTGTTCTTTAAATCAATGACCGTAAGACATAACGAAATTTCGTACTCTCGCGATACTTCAATGAGTCTTGTAGGAGTATGGATATGATCGATTGTGCTGAACCCTCTCCGAAACCCTGCTTGCTCGCATGGCTGTCCTCCATTTAATATTCGTCGTCTGGATCTCCCTTCTTAGACAGCAACACAGCCTTGCTAGTTTTCCACGACGTGGGCACTTTGCATTCCGACAGGTACCGCGTGAAGAGCCTAGCCAGAGTTCTGACGGATAATGGTGGAAGACTCTTCAGATGTTCTGTTTTGATCCTATGGGGACCGGGCGAAGTACAATTCTTTATCGACGTGGTGGCATGTCGTATTTCGGAAGGGAGAACCGAGGGAGCGATATACATATTCGTCTTGCCTGAAATGGTGAATAGGCAGGTAGACGTGGCTGTCGAAGAGATAGGAGTAGAAGTCGTGACTTTCTCCATTGCCCTTTGAGGTGCAGTAACTGTTCCATCGTGACGACGGAGAGAAGTCATCTTGGTCTTGTAATTGGCGAAGCTCCGCGGCGAAAGCTCTTTCCGGCCTCGGTGGCTTCGTCCATGACTGCTGCTCTTCTCTCTTTCAGATCTTCCATTATCGCTCCTCTGCACGGCTTCGCAAGTTCGGACGTTTGTTGATGATTGCCTTGCGCGCAATTCCACGCGGGCGTATCAGCTTGAGTGTCTTCGAAGAGAGTCGTCCTTTGGCTTTTTGTAGACTCTCTGCTTTCCTAGCGCCATATGAAAATGTTCGACGAGCCAGTTGTATTCTCTATCGATGTTGTCGATAACGGAATCCTCCCATTCACTCGCAAGGGAAGCGATGTGGTTCTAGTTGAGGGAGGTTTTGGGGCTTCGTTTCCTAAACTTCATAGCTCTCTCTCCACGTACTGAGAAGCAGAATCTAGCGCGGAGGAGACGATGGTCCAATCCTGTGTAGAACTTCGGAACAACAGCGACGTCGGTCAGGCAAAATCTCTAATTGAAAATGATGTGGTCTATTTCATTATGGAATTGTCCACCAGGTGACCCCCATGTCCGTTGCAAATGAGAGGGCTTCTGGAACTGCGAGTTACTATGGATGGTGCGGGTCGACATGATGAACTCGGACAGCCTTCCACGCTGCTCATTCCATTCCATTCCGCGAGTCCCGATGTGAAGCTCTTCAGCCGTTCTTCTAGGGCCAATCTTCGCGTTGAAATCACCAGCGATGACCATGATGAAAGTGTGGCTTTTCCTGTAGAGCCTCTACAGATCCATATAAAACGCTTCCAACTCCTCTTCTTCGGAGCTCGATGTTGGTGCATAGGCACAAAAATGGTTAGAGCTGGAGTTGAGCCACATCTTTTTAATCGCAAATGCCCGATTCGGGTTGTAATATTATTATTATGTAATATTTCGTACGAATCGATATTCATGGCCAAGTGGGTATTGACGAGGACACATACCTCGCCGACGCCTCTGCGTTCTACCCATGTTCCATGAAACAGTTCTTCTGCAGTCTAAAATAGAGTGCAGCGGGCAGTGCCTTCTCGTCTCGGTCAGTCCGATGACGTCGTACTTGATCTTCTTAGCTTGCATCATCAGGTCTTCTACACACGCTTCCGATACAAGCGTCCGTGCGTTGGAAGTGCAGATCGCCATCCTGGTCCTTCTCCTTTTGGGCAGCCTATTATGGCCCTGAGATTTTAGCAGCCCCTCTCGAGCGGTCCTACCCAATGCTGCCGTATTGGGGGTTCCCTCAGGTTTAGGGGAATGAGACCCATTTCTATTGTTGTTTTTGGCGGGTGGATACCCACGTGTAAACTGCCAGGCTCTGACGTGGGGGTTGGGTCGCCTTCAGGGACTTGCCAGGCAACCCGAATCTTGGACGAGGGACTTTGTTTTTAGAGGCGGCCTCGAATCGCCTCTCAGATTCTTCCCACTCACTCGAATGCAAGATTTTTGCTTTGGCTGAATCAATGGGCTGGATACCAACTGCACCAGCAGACTCTCCACACGCGTATGCGTGGATACGCCTGCGAGAAGCAGAAGGTATATCGACCAGCACAGCAGAATCAAGGAGCCCATACCCTGAATCCACCTGCGTCTCTGAGCCATTACCGGTGACTTTTGGTCGGCGATTAATTCCCCTATCCGCCTCCTAGGGACGCCCTACGTTGCCTTTGAAACATGTATTATAATATCATATTTATACTTTTTATCATATTTGAAATGAATTGAAATGCCAAACGTTTATTATCACTAGGGAGGAGATGATGAATCTACCTTGTGTAATGCAATAAACTGAATGAAATGAACTCAGAAAAAATGGTTCGAGCGTCTACGCGTGGTGTCATCATATTCTAGGCCCACCTTGTGGGGTCGTATCGCTGGTTGCTAACGACATCAAGTGCAATGCTCGAGTGAAAGACAGCGTCAGCTCGCTTATGAATTGAATCAGTCAGGTTGCTGCTGATCTACTTGCAGCAGGAGTAAGCCTGGCGGTGATTCTTCCCGAACTTCCACGGCAAACGGCAGTGCTTCCGTGGCCATTACCGTGTCCTTCTACCGGAAATTCGAACACTCCCCTTCGTAGGGCACGATCGGGTGCGGCGAGCGCGACCACTTCGGGGAGTTGTACCATGCCCAATAGGTAGAGCGGGGGCAGACTATGGCGGGTCGAGTGGAAACAAAGAGATCAGGGAATGAGCTAGTACGGCGGTGAAATGCAGAAGATGTAGAAACATGAGAGATCGCTGAAGCGACGTATTCAAATGTCAGCGCGTGAAAAAAATCAATCCGCGTAAACCCCCACGATTGAAAAGGGTTCGTCTAAGAACGCGGTGAGGTGCGCTGCGCCCGACGTGTGTGTTGTAAACGTGCTTCAGAAAATTGCACAGCCTATTTCCCTGAAAAGTCAATGGATGAGATAAAAAATTCCTCATTAAATAAGCGCTCTGCAAGCATTCTGTTGTCGCTTTGATAATGGCCAGGCGTTTCCTTCGTGTGTGTCTCTGAATGTAAGTATATCATAGCGAGTTAATCACCATTTATCTCTTGAGCGAACGAATTGGATGGCTGCAATGCATAGTGTTCGACTCTATAGAACAAATGTGTTAGACGACACTTATGATTATACGATGATCGACCTTCTCTTGATCTTGGCATGACCTTTGACTAATATACATGTATGTTTGCTTGAGCCTTTCCAAGATTTCAGAATTTATAGAGCTAACGTTTTGGCGAGTTAGCCTTCGACAGAGCCTAAAAGTCGAAAACACCATTGAGATTAACTGTATAATAAGGCGAGGTGAACCAAAGACAGTTCTTCAGACCAGGGCCTCCCCGAACCCGGTATACATGAGGCTTACCTTGAACTAAATCGCCGGAGCGTTAGATCGATCACCCAGTTTTTACATTGTGCGTACAATGAGCGAACCTACCTCCTTTCTGACCGCACCGTAATCTCAAAATTCGCAGAGGTCGAGATAGGGCGCGAGGTCACGGGTTACGATCATACACTCTTCCTTCCTGTTGGTTTAAGGGTTTCTAGCTACAATCCTACACGCCTCTAGTGCTTTCGGCGCAGTGGTCTCCGTTTCTAGTGCCAAGATGGTTACTGAAATTGTGAGTTCGCTACCATTGTGGCACAGAACTCGATGCATTCCCAGTGGTGTTTGGGGCGAGACTTTCCTAGCCCTTCCAAGTGTTCTTTTACTCGTGTTCCAAGGGGGCGCTCTGTTTTACCCAATATATTCAGCACCACAGGCCTGGCAACGAATTTCGTAAATCACCCCTGCTCGTAAATCACCCCTGCTCTCATGCAATCACCCCGTCGATTGGAAGGACACACAAGGCAATCTGGTGTATCACACAAGATGTCGTATAGGCTATGGCGGACCAGTTGTCGACAAGGTTTTCTGTGGGTATTTCCACAACCATGGCCTCTTCCTTTAGACCACACCTAATCACACAGCACGAATTGCTCCGCTCATTTCGGAAATGAACGATATTCAATATGCTACCTTATTGACCGGTGCTCATTCATAAACTCTACGAGGTGGGAAATCCTCCCCACGTTGTGACCCCATGAGACTATGATATATGATCAAATATACTCATGATTGTTATATCGCCATGCCTTTCGCCTATTAAACGGAATGCACGCTGCTGTCCAACGATCAGATCGACCAGTGAGGAAAATAAGGCTAAAGGGGGATTGAAGGAGCGTTCTCGTCAAGAGTTGGTCTACATATATATTATATATAATATATTATATATATAATATATATTGGCGCCGATTTATAGCAATACATTTGAAACTTCTCAGCTGCGAAAGACAATGAGATTTTTATGCACACTAGCTAACACTATGTGCTACAACATGCTACAGTCGCATTTCAAAATATCCCCTATGAGCGCGGATAGAAGTCAAAGTTTGCTCTCGACTTGATCGCATTTGGCACGCAGGTATCCTTCTCCTTTTCTTCCCAGCTTTTCTTCAGCCTTTGCATCCTAGGACTCCAAAGTGGGACTGCAAACTTGACAGGTCCTCTTCTAATCAGAGACCCTCGTGGGAGTCAATTGAGTCATGTTCTAAAAAATAGGACCATTCCTCTTCACCAATGAAGTCGGGCAGCTGTCGTCGGCACCACTCGCAGGCAAGCTTGGCTCTGTGGGCTGGATTAGCGTCCTGCTGAGAGGAATACGAGATGTTTCAGGAAATATAGTCGTATCGGTGTTTTATTACGTCCATCAGTACGCTCTTTGAGTACTAATCTTGGTCAATTTTTACGCCTACGCCGAAGGAACCACGAGCGGCTTACCCTTGCCAGTGATTTCCCCCAAAAACAACGTTTCACTGTTCTTATAGCAACCTTTTGGTGAGATATTATACGCTAGCTGTTTCTTTTGGGAACGCGAACGTTTTGGTCATTGAGGGATGGTTTTGTCGTAAAATTTTTTTGGCTAGAGAAAACGACGAAGGGTTGCGTGTCATCACTCAAGCGGGTCTGCGGTATTCTGCATTTTTTGGTATTGCAGTGTCTGTTGAGATCAGAATTGAAGTGAAATTTCTGCATGCGATAGGAATGGCAATGAAGCTTCTGCATGACATTCTTCCATCGCCATAACTCGGATAAGCCACGCCCGTTGACTTCTTTTTGATGGGTCACCCAAGATCCCGACCGATTGGCAGACGAACCATTTTAATAGTCCTATCTTCAGGGACATTCTTCCTTTCTACCTCTCCTGGTTTGTCTCTGATTCATTCTTCTTTTCTACATTAATAGCCTCCTATACGGTTATTATCAGATCCCAAGGAATTTCATAATGCCCTCCCACCTCTCGCGTGTCAGTGATTGCAGGTGGCATTAAATGAGCCTCCTCCATCTGAAAGATATTGGGGGTTCCACATCAGTAACCATGCGTATTGCAAGAAAACCTCCTTATGCAACTAATTAATAACAGGTAATGTGAATTTGATAAATTATTCCTACCTTGGAAATTTCTGAATTCTGGCGCCAATAATTTTGGGACACCCTGTATATAGAGGGTGCGGCAAAAGTTCTGGCAAATGCCCGTTCCAGGTCTTGCTTAAGAAATGAAGCTCTCGATCTCGACAGAATCTGTGCCACTACTTTCTGCAAGTCCTCTTCTACACATTCCATGAATTGGACGTTCTTAAGAAAGCTATTTAACAGAATGGTGACAAGCAACCAATGAGCCTCCATCGAAACCATCACCAAGTAGCTCCAAATCCCCTTGAGAACCGTGTACAACAACATCAACAGGTACAAGGCGACAGGAACTATGGAGGATAAGCCTAGATGTGGAAGACTGAAGAGTGCAACAGTAAAGGAGATCGTGAAAACTATTAGAGGGAAAATCCGCCGCCACCCTCGTAGGTCCGAGAGAAAAATGGCTCTTGTGGTGGGTATTTCTGCTCGATCTGTTGGAAGGATTGTCACCAGAAACCTTCGACTTCGCTCTTATAAGATCAGGAAAGCTCTCATGCTAACTGAGCGTATGAAGAAAACTAGGCTCGAAAGATGTAAGGAGCTTTTAAAGCGATTTTCGCAGGCACGGCACACCAACATCCTTTTCACTGACGAGTGTCTGTTTTCAACAGATCAATTCCTGAACACCCAAAACGATAGGATAATAGCGGGGAGCCTCCTGCAGAAGCCAGCCAACATGGAGGGATTGCTCAACGATCTGGACACCCCAAGTCGTTG